AGTTCAGTCAGTTTAATACAGCTGGTACTGTCAACAGCTAAAGGAGGAGCATGTTGTGTGCCTCAGTTGGCAGCAGTGAGGCTTTTATGAAGTTTCTGATCTTTGTTAGTGTGTGACTCGGTATTGAAGACATGTGCCTGACTTAATGCTGTGGGGACCAGAACTTACAGTGTGCTTCTTATCGTACTTGAGCATCTTTATAAATGTATTTGTATTCTTTTCAGAAGCAGAATGGGCATGTCCAGTAAGTTCTGCAGAACTAGGAGAAAGCCAAACTAGAGTTGCTGAAAAATCTCTGTAGTTGCTGAAAGCCATCTCTTCTATTTAAATGTGCTTAACAGAATTGTTGGTTTCTGTTTGCAATTGAGTGGTCTTGGTTGAGGTGCACTTCTCCATGTCAGAGAGCAAAGCACTGTTCTTTGCAAGTCTTTAATAGAGCTCCCCCAAGTCAATCTCATCATCTGTCAAAATTTGATGTGACCTTACATTTATTCCTTTGCTTCTACAGAGAGATATCCTTATGCATAGATGGAGATATCCTTCCTTGTCTCTCCATGGAATTGAAGGAGCCTTCTCAGCCTCTGGAGCCAAGACTGTGATTCCTAGGAAAGTGATTGGCAAGTTCTCAATCAGACTTGTGCCAAACATGACTCCTGAAGAGGTCACCAACCATGTATGTTGAGATGGATTAATGATCTCTAAAAGCCTCTCAGCTTCTTTTCTCTGTATCTGGGAGGAAAAATGTTTTTGGTTTCTGAAACAGTTCTGTTTTCTTTGCTACGGTCTTTCCTGTCTGCCCCTCAGCTCAGGTATTTGAGGGAATGAGTGTAGTACCACACTAAACTGTTGTGGCCTTGGTCTCTGCTTTCTCTCAGCTAACTTGAAGATGCAGTTGAGAACTGAATGCTGATTGAACTGTGGGGCACTTGAGCTACCACAAGAGTCTATTCAAAAGTGTAAGAGTTTAGCATAATGACTGTTTTACAGTAGTGCTTTTACTTGCCTGATGGAGATATTCTGACTGCAGAGTTACATAGTAATATGAGATAATAGTAATATGAAAGCTATTGCTGCATGCAGTTGTGACCTGCGAGTCTCCAGGATGCTTTTAGTATACTGTCTTCACCAGTGTTCATACATGTAACAGTAAAACAAGGCTACTTGACTTTTTTTTTTTCCTATAGGTTAAAGATTACCTGAGCAAACAGTTTGCGAAGCTGCAGAGCCCTAACAAATTCAAGGTATACTTAGGCCATGGTGGAAAACCCTGGGTGTCAGACTTTGATCATCCACACTACATGGCTGGCAGAAGGGCCATGAAGACAGGTCAGTGGGTTTTCCACTTGTATTGAGAAGTATTCTTGTTTCAGCATCTCAAGAAATACTGTGGAGGTCATGTTTGTGGAATATTTGTGGTATCTTACTTGGGTGATACATTTGACTTGCTGAGTAAGAAAGCATCTCGTGCCATCCTTAATTTTGAAGTATAGGATGGAGGAAAAGTTACTATCAAGCTCATTCCAATACATGGAACAAGTCTGGCATGGTGTTGCTCGTAGATAAGGATGCAAATGTCAGTAGTTCAGATAATTTACATTATCAAAGCCCTCAAAGCTTATGCATTCTGGCATCCTTAGCTGTAGGTAGGATAACAAGGGTAAACCTGATTTCTGTTGAAGTTCATAAACCATATGAAATTGACAGTACTCCAGCACTATATCTGGGGTGAAACTCCACAGTTCTGTTACTTGTGCAGTCTATCAGAGAAGCTTTAGAAAAGGTACAGTTTCAAACTGACTAGAGTATCACTTTGTTCTAGTTTTTGGAGTTGAACCAGATCTGACAAGGGAGGGAGGAAGCATTCCTGTTACCCTCACTTTCCAAGAAGCAACAGGCAAGAATGTCATGCTGCTTCCTGTTGGAGCTGCAGATGATGGTGCCCACTCTCAAAATGAGAAACTGAATAGGTAAGAATATTCATCCCTGTGCCAGACTGAGTTGTGCCTGTGGGTCTTTTTGTGTATAATGAAAATAACTAAGGTAAATCAAGCGCTTCAAGTGTTGGGAAGACATCCTTAGTGGAGGATGGCTGAGTGGGTGGCTGTGCTAACTGGTCTGTAGCTGAATCGTTAAGTCCTTACTGCTTCTGGCTGTGCATACTTGCAACAAGTAACTTCTCATAGTTCAGCCCAGGGCTGGGCTGCTCTGTCTTACCTCATGGGTGACATTTCTGTCTTGCCAAGGGAAATGCAAGCAGGTTGGGAATAGTCTGTTTCCTGCCACAGTTTTGCTTATAGCATCTGTTGTTGACAGGGGGCTAATGCTGCAGCATGCACAACTGCTAGGAAAGCAGCTCAAACTACAGTAGTGCTGATGGAAGCTGTCTTTACAGGTACAACTACATTCAGGGAGTGAAGATGCTTGGTGCATACCTCTATGAAGTTTCACAACTGAAGAACTAAGACACCTTACCTTCTGGCTTGTGATTCAGAAGTCTGACTTTTCTTAGGAAACAGCATCTATTAATTCTTACGTGGCTCCCCTTTTCCACCAACACTCCACAACTTTGGAGAAGAGGGAAGCATGCCGTTCTACTTAAGAAACAAACATTGTAAACAAAAAATCTTCAAATGCTTCAAATGACAGACTATTTCCTATTTGTCCAGTAGTCCTGAAAGGCATCTTTCTTCTCTGTATCACTTCAAAGTTCTGGCTTGCTATACTCATCTACTTTTCCTGTAATGCAGGAGGAACTGGGTGCTCTCAACTGTTTCAGCAGCCACATTAGCTGCAGAACTGTTGGCCAGGTTTAAGGTACTTTTTCCAAGACTTCAAAGATATATGTTCTGGAAGTAGTCACAGTGACAGATTAGGGGCTATACTGGAGTGTGCTCAAGCTGTAGCATGGCATCTGTCTTCCTAAAGGATTTGGAAGAGTAGTTTGTCTTATGGTTTATACCTGCCTGCAGGTTTCAATTCTCACTGCAGTAGGTTGTAACAAAATTCACTGTGATAATGACTACTGGTCATCTTTGTAAAGCTGCCTTTGTACTCCCTAAAAAGGACAATAAATAATCATGCTCTAGTATTTGGCTCTGTTTCTGAGGGTAAAGTTATGACTTGGGAGGAATGTTTCTGTGACTATTGAGGCAGATGGATACAGACTGTGCTTGCTGGGAGACAATGTTATTGCTGAGTACTTTTAAGTTCTATAGCAGCTAGCTGATGTGAAGCTCATGTTGCAGAATCTTATCCATCTGAGAGAAAACAGGATGTTTCTTTTTGGCTCTATGAGCCAGGACATTGCACTCACACAAGTGATAGTGAAAGTGAGTGGGTGAAATCTATAAGCAGATTTGGGAGAGAAGCATCACTCATTACAATTACTAACACTGAGCTTCAAAGTATCTTTTGGAAACACTCAGTTCCAGCACTTTCTGAAGTTAAGTTTAAAAAAAAAAATCTCTTAAGGGTTTGCTAATCTGAATTGGATTTGACTGTTTCTGACCTCCTAGACAAGCATTAGCAGATTAAGATAGGCAAATATTTTAAGTAATGATGCTTTGCTCTGAGAAGTGCCTGAGAGTATGGTGCATTCCTACAAGTCCTGTATAGTGATGAGTAAAGTAGCATCTGCTGCATCTGTTGGGCATTACTACTTACTGTAGCTCCCTATCTGTCTGATTTTTATTGTTGCTGGCGATCTGGAGTCTTTACTGTGAACGACTATTGAGGCAGGAAGGAGGCTTCTGTTCTCACTATACATATTCTAGAGCTTCTCTGTCTGCCCCTTTTTTTTTTTTTAAAAGGAAGTTTAAACATTGCACTTGTACTTGCAGCTGGGGTACAGGCTGAGACCTGCATCATATGGCCATTTTGGTACTTGCGAGTACCAAGCTTCTCTAGTAACATGAGGTTCTCACCTCCCAGGGATGCTGAAATCTGGTATGTGCAAGATGGCACGTGTTAGTATTCAGGGGTCATCTGTATGTGGAGACCAACTGGTTATATAGGACAGCATGTCCAAGCAATCAGTATGTTTAAAGCAGCTTCCCTAGTTAATGAGTTGATGGCTCATACTTCTTTAAATGGAGTGACTGTCTGAAAAGGGTTAGGGTGAGTTTATATTGCTTTTCTACCTATTAATTTGAGAAGTATAAAAACTCTAAAATCCACTTCATGGACTGAGGGTAATGAGTTTCTCACAGTGTGTAAAGGAACTTACTTAAATGGTCAGAAAACTGATAATATCATGAACTATGTTCAGAAAGCATGTTTATAGTTGTCATTTCTAACTGTTGTATTGAGAATCAGTCAGTTGACTCAAGTTCTGCACTAAAGATTCTGCTTAAGGTCCTATACTTCCTGAATAATCATGGTATGGCAGAGCAGTGAAAATTGTCCAAAACAGCATTGGGTATGTTAAGGAATTCTGGAAGAGACTTGGAAACAGATTCTATTGGACAGACTGCAGGAATATTCCAGCATGGGGTGAGTGTCAAACCCTGTGGGGGAAAAAAACTTAGAATAAGATTTTGTCCCTGAGCAAAATGAGCACTGAAGTGTAAGTTGCTAAAGTAATAGGACCTTTATAAAACTAAATGGACTTTTGTATGGGAACTGCTGAATCATGGCCTGAACCTCTGATTGACCACGTAAGGCAAACGAGTCAGCACTGGGAATGCAGGTGAAAGCAATTCACCTGTGCTACTGGAAGGGGTGGAGCCTGGCTCTACCTCTCCTAGACCCCATTTAAAAGCTGGCTACCACTGGGAAAGGATATCTTTTGGAGATCACTCCTCTTGGAGCCTACTCAGCAAGCCCAGGGCAAGGGTAAGCTTTCCATCCATTCTTCTTTAGTGTGATAATCTATGTAGCCTAACTTTCTTGTATATTTCTTAATTATAACATTTCATTGATTGTATATTCATTGATCATACAATGTTGCAGCTGTTAAGTTGTATAACTTTAGAATTAGAAATCAGTATTACTGCATAGTAGCAAAGCTTGCTTCAGGTGTCACTGCCAAAGGCAATAACAAAAATGGTAATACTTGACTGGAATGAACACTGCAGGCAGAAAGGGCTATGATACCAGCTTCTGCTGTTTGCCTTCTTCAGAACTGCCTTCTTGAAGGCTTCCAGGAAACTTAATACCCTTTGCAGAGAACTGGTCTGTGACATCTTTGACTCTTTTGCATTGTACAGGGGTTTACATAAATTCTCAGTAGCTGATGTTGTTTGAAAAGTAGCACTCAGAATGTGGAAGCTGGACATTATATGTGTTGTAAACAGTTAAACATGGGGAAAAAAAACTTCAGTGAAGTATGGGAGATCATAGCACCATCTGCTGGATGCATGAGTGATGTTTTCCCTGCAAAACTTTGTATTGTTGCTTTTTTTCCCTGTTTACTGAAAGGTTGATCAATTCCAGTTAATATATAACATGAACGCAGGTATAAATATATGCTCATTAAAAGGCTTCTAGGTGAGCTGACTTGGCTGTCCAGACCAGTCTTTGTTAGTGAAGGTACTACAGAAGAACAGGACTGCGAGTGTTGGATAGCTTTGTAGCCACTGGGCATTTTACTGTGCTGAATAATTCCAATGTGATGTTAAGTACTGGAAAAATATTCTTGCTGATTGTGCAGTTTTACTCATCTCTTTGCCTACAGTCACCATTTCCGTGGGGCAGATTTACACAGGAACAACTTTACAGAGGTGCAGGGCTGCAGTCTCCAATTTATCTGAGCAGAGAATATTAATACCAGCTCTCTATTTACAGGAAAACAAAGGTAAGGCTGTAAAAAGGAAGGGTGTTATGCTCTTCTCTTATCTGTCTGACTCTTGGCTGGGCCTACAAGGGCTACCCATGTATGCATGCTTGGCTCGTTTACTGCTTGCTCTTGTTTGGCACCCATGTTTTGTTCATCTGATATTTAGCTGTTATGGCTGAACAAGGCAGGAGCTCAACTCATTGCCTGCTGACCCAATGGTACATGTCCTTAAATTGTTGGGATTTTCTATGAACTTCTGCTTAGCCAAACTAGCTTCACCATGGTCTGGGGGGATCACCAGAAAGAGATCCTTCCCCAGCAGCAGTCAGCCTTTAAATGGGGTCTAAGAGAGGTGCAGCCAGGCTCCACTCCTGCACACACAGCTGAATTGCCTTCACCTGTGCTCTCATGGCTGACCAGGTCCTTTCCCCAGGTGCTCAGTAAGTTGGTTCAGGCTGTGATTTAACACTTCCCATACACTTGGAAAGCACAGGCTTTGGTTTAACAATGAGTTTACATGGAGCAAATAAATTAAAACATTTTTCCATAAGTTTATTCTATAGACCACTTTCAAAAACACTGTGATCTTGACCTGGAAGCAATGTGAAGTAGAAGTAACACAGCTGATCTAGATAAAGAATGCAAGTTTGTTCACTTTGTTAAAGTATTAGTTTAAAAATATTACTTTTTTAAAATTTTTATCTCAATTTGTTCGATTAAGATAGAGTTGATCAAGGTGTTCAAGATGCTTTTATGCATCAGGAGTCAGTCTGATTCAATGTCCTCATAATTCACAAATCATGCAGAGGATTTAGATCACTCTGAAGGATCTGCTTAGACTGCTCAGAAAAGCTTAGTGGTGGGTGGTTCTGACTGCAGTCCCTTGCTATCTTACTCATACCACTCCATTTTGTGATGCTAGATTCTGACAAACCCTGCATGGTAAGGCATGTTTTTTTAATATTTTAAATATTCATTATTCCATTAATTTTGCATATCCTTAGAGATTCTGAGATTTCTTGAACTGCTTAAAATGCATGCCAATGGAATGTGCCAGCTGATGCTGACATGTTGGTACATGGTGGCCTCATTCTATCTGGGCAGGCTTGTGTTCTTCTCAATCATGGGGACAACCCACAGAGTTCTTATGTTTCATCCCTTCTGAACAATGAGGCAACAAACACAACTAAACAGCTGCTTTTGTCATCCTTACTGTGCGGTGCGTTTGAATCGTGAGACCTGTTGATCCCCCAGGGTATCATCACAGAAAGAGGAAGTAAATTCCTTTATGAGTAACTACATAATCTATGTAAACTTTATAATCTATATAAACTTTAAGAGTAACTATATAATCTATATAGTTATAGCCTATTGCAGCAAATTTGACCAATGGCAAAAGAAAGAAAGTGCCAAATACATTATCAATTTCAAATAACATTCAGTTATTAGGAAGATACTTAAGGAAGTATTTGTGCAGAGACACCTCCGTGTTCTGCTTGTGAATGTGTGTTCTGCAGTGGTCAATTGGAATTCACTGATGTGCACAGGATGACCAGCTTTGGTAATGTCTGAGTCCACAAGCAATGTATATGAATAGTATTTGAGGAAGAAGCCTTTGAAGGCTGCTGATTCTGTCTACAAATAAATAAAACCACTAAATGTCAATATGAAGCAGCATCTTTAGATGACTGTTCTATTGTTCTCTTGGATAGTGAGTAAATAGAAGAAGAAATCTGATCTCTTTACTGTACAAAATTATAGCTAGTTCCTGAGATTCAAGATATATAAGGGAATTAAATTTCATGTTAAGAACTAATTAAAAGACAGAATAATTAAAAAAAAAAAAACACATAAATAATAATTAGGGAGTGCTAGATTTACTTAGTTTTAAATTGATAGGAAACGATGCTGTATTACATTGCCTACTCTGTGAAAGTGTTCCTGTATGACACGACAGGTGATTCAGTCATCAAGTGGAAAATATTAATATTTAAGATGATTCATCTCATTTTCTTAATGCCTTATAGTTCCACAACCATCTACGTGCAAATACAGCAGAGTTAGCAGGAGGCTGCTGTCACCTTGAAGCAAGTGCTCACCAACAGCTGATTAGCATTATGTGCTCCAAAGGTAAAACAGGTTCAGCTACTCTGCCCTCATTAGGAAGAGTGGAGAGAGCTGCAGCAATAAGTACTCCTCCAATTCCTTCCTGTAATTTGATTAACATGGAAGAGCTTTAATGGAATAAAGGAACACGTTTAGTGGGAAAATATTGGTGTTAGGCAGGTGGTTGGATTGGATGATCTTGGAGGTCTTTCCAACCTCAGTGAGCCCATGATTCTATGATCTCTGCCATTAAGAGACCTTAATGGCAGAGAAGAAAGATTCTGAAAATAAATACACTTAACGTTAACGTTAAAACAAAATGAATCTGAAAATAAGAACTTGATATTTGTTCAGTAGCAAGGGATCTGCAATGGGGCAGTCTTTTCTTCCATATAAATTAATAGACACCAATGCAGTAGGGAGGCTAATATATCCAGATATATGCAGGATTCTGAGAGAGGATTGGGTACTTCGGGTAAGACAGCTATTCTGGAAGCAGTGCATCAATTCACAAGCTTGGTCTGTCAGTCATTTTCTCAGATTCACCAATCTTCTGAGAGTTGTCAAGATTGGCATGGGAAAAACTTGCATCTTAGTATTAACAGGAAATGCACCAAATGCAAAGCAACACACCCTGTAAACCCCTTCCTTCAGATCTTAAAGTGGCGCATATTAGCTGGAAAACATCCATTTATCTTTCAGTTTAAAGATGAAAAATTCTGTTTTCACAGTACTCTGAATTTGAGAGCTTGATCCCACTAAATCTGTTACCCAGTTTAGGGTCCAATTACCAGTCACAGGGATGAATGAAATATCCAGATAAAATGACACTGTGCTGAGATAATTCAAAAGGAATCAGCCACACTACTTCAAGCTGACATTATTTTTTTATACTATAAATGTGACTCCTTGCAAATTAGCTGTTTATGGGGAAAATGTGCTCTTTCTTCTCTCTTGCAGGCTTCCTATGAAGCCTCAGCAAAGTGCGATATCTAACATCTCTGTAGAGTATTTCCTTCCTAGCTAAGAAGGAGCAAGTTTAGGTAGATAACAGGTGTGTTTACCTGTTGCTGGAGACACTGCATGCTTCTGAAGAATCTGAGACATCCATGGTGCCATTGCATTCAGCTGAAATCATTCATGTAAGATACTAAAGGGAGAGTTTTGACTTTGTATCCTTATGCCCGCTATGCTTCCAAGCTAGACTCTTCTAGATGAATTCTTTTTGTACTTACTGTGTTGGGAATAGAGACATATCCTGCCTCTAGCAACACTTTTAACAGTAAGTTTTCTTTTGCCCCAACAGTATATGATCAGATAGATGAAAGCAGGCCTATGGCAAGTTAGGAAACTAAATACTGATATTATGAATATATTTTTTCTTCTCTAAATGTGATGGGAAAACTGAGTGCATCTTATTATGCCATTATCTTCTGCTTTTGATTGCTTGCCATAAATTATCTGCAAAATTTGTATTGCAAAATTGTGCTTCTCAGGTTCCGTTGCGGAAATCCACCTGTTCAGCTGGTTTCCCATAGGTGTAAGCAGGAAAAAATGTAATCCTAATCTGTACAGAACTAAGGGAGTGAGATGCCCTGGGAATGTGAGGGGCATGTGAGGAAAAAGTGTTCTGGTTTCTGTGTGTGTGGTTTTTTTTTTTTTGTTTGTTTGTTTTAATTCAGGACACTGACCTATGGCATGAAAGATTCATACATTTGCTCATCAAAAGGTTTCCTTGTGTTCTGATAAAGGGGCATGACAAAGGACATGGGCATTGTATTTTTCCCATGTAGAAAGGAAAATAATGGCATCTCTGTATTTTCAGTGCTTTGTTATGGAAGTTTCTATGTAGTTTCATGTAATGGATTAAGGTAAAGGATCTTCACCTGTGCCCACTGTGTCAGTCCCAGTGTGCAGCAAATAATCAAAGAATCATGATGTTGTGCAAATGGATGGGAAAAAAAGGAGGAGCTGCAGTCACCACAAGGCCTCCCTCAGTTGCCTCTGCTCTGGGCTGAACCAACCCAGGGACCTTAGCTGCTCCTCACACCTTGTTTTCTGGACTCTTTGCTATCTTTGTATGCCTCCTTTGGATCCTCTCTCATAGTTTCATGTCCTTCTTATATTGTGGCACCCAAACTTGCATGTGGTACTCAACATGTGGCTGCACAGAGCAATGCAACCCCTTCCCTTGCTTGGTGGCAGTGCTGAGCCTGATGCATCCCAATGTATGGTTGGCCCTTTTGGCTGCATAACATCATCCTTGTGGCAGAAAGTAATTTTCTTCTTTTCACTGGACGTGTTTTGATATTTTTGTTTCTGTATCTCAAAGGCATCCTTGCAGTTGGCCACACAATTCTGTTCAGTTTCCTAATTTTTAGGATTAAGAACAATCTGCTGAAGGCAGGGGAAGGAAAGCCAGAGTCCTGAAGGGGTCTGACTGCTGATCAGTTGGGTGGGATCACACACAGAAAAAATGCTTCAGAAAAAGCAGAAAAGCAAAGCCAGTGATGTTACTCATTTTGAGTGCAGGAGTCTTGTCAGCTGTGGGATCTATAATTAAGATGTGATTTTCTTCCCTCTGAAGTGCACTGAATGGATACTAACTTTATGCATCTTCATGAATTACATCAAATATTTCAACAAAAATTCTGGAACTTGTATGAGGATTTAAGCATTTGGAATGTACGATTAATGACTTATATCCAAAACTGTCATTCACTTAGAGGCTATGAGCTATGAAAACATCACTTCTAAATGTTCGGATGCCTATAATACAGAAAAATGTAAAGCCATTGCTGTTTTTCAAGCCATGTCAAGGCATGTGTTGCACTTCTCTTGGAAGGCCTTTGAACATATGGGAAATCTTTCCTCTGCTCAGAAAGGCTGTCACAAAGGGGGACAGAATGCTT